ATTATCGACCTACAAACATTACAGAATCTTACTTTGACTCTAGAATAGACTGCTGCAAAGTTTCGCTCCACAGTTCTCAAACGGTTTCAAACCGGGTCCAGATGAGCCTCCCAAAATTTAAACTCATTTGGTCAGAAACTGGCTTGGCACAAACCATTTGAAGTTTATGTGAAAATTAATATGGCAAAACCAAACTTTTTATTAATTTACTCTTAGCCTTTTTTCCATATTGCTCAGCTGAAAAGTTCCTCTGCTATGCTTATTGGAAATTCAAGCAGCTGTTTTGTTGGCAAATCTGTATTTTGTAGTGTGACATAGTAGCCATGATTTTTTTTCTGCTCTATTCTACGGGCCAGAAACACCGATGTTGCCTACTGAGCAGTTGATTGAGCATAATCATAAACCATCAATGACTTGAATCATTAATAACTGTTGTTTCTTATATTTAATTTAAACGTGGCATTCAGTAAAGTTGTAGCTGTGAAAATTTACAACATGCATAGCTATCATTTTTTAAACAGTGTTAAATGGTGAGTTTTGAGGTAGATATGAACGGAAAAATTGGTATTCCAATAGTAATTTTCATACAAGCTTTAAATGGTTTGTGCGAAGTCAGTTTCTTACCCAAAGAGTTTAAATTTTGGGAGACTTATCAGGACCCGATTTGGAACCATTTGAGCAATGTGGAAGGAAAATTTCAAATTTTGCATCAGTCTACGCTAGATGCGCAATCCCACGAGATGGTAGTGGTTAGCATCCATACCTCTCACTCCAAAGTCACGAGTTCAAATCTCACCCCGGACAAGTCACGAATGACCCAAGAGCGTTAAAGTGGGTATAATTAAAAAAAAAATTATGTCGATTCTAAACTAAAATACTCACTGCATAGCCGACTGCACAACTTTGCTGAAGAAGAAAATTTCCTATCTGGTAAATTTCAAGAGCTATAATTGGAATTGTTCGCTGTGTACTCAGTACACCTAAATTGGTATGCCCCTCGCGTGCCGCTAGCACGCCTCTAGTGCTGGGAATCGAAAATCTTTGACTGTGGTTTGCTTACACTTCTATAGAGAACAACTGGTGCAAGTTTGATCAAAGTAGTCGATCGCGTTCAGAAATAACGTCAAATGGAACTCGAAAGAAAAAAAAAATAGTGTGCACAAACACCTGGAAAATCCGGAGTGGTACGGTTCCAAGCTGGCTAAAGATCTGAAGATACCGAAAACAACAGTTTTTTGAGTGCTCAAAACCTACAAGAGAACCCTGAGTGTGGAAAGGAATCAGCGGACCTACGAAAAAACTGGAACCAGGGATCGTCAGCTGCGCAGCAAGTTGCTGAGGTGCGTTAAAGCCAACCCCGGTCTTTCGATCCGAGATGTGGCCAGAAGGTATAACGGCAACTTTCAAACGGTGCGGAACATCCTTACCAGGGAAGGATACAAGCCGTACAAAGCCAGTAAACATCCGAACCGTCACATGAAGCAGAATTCCGTGGCCAAAAAGCGTGCGAATCACAAGGGCTGCACTTTGATCGATGACGAAACATACGTCAAACTCGATTTTAAGCAGCTTCCTGGTTAAAAGTTTTACATCGCGACTGGATGTGGGGGGGTGCCGAGAATATTCAAGTTTGATTAACGATTTACAGGTCTTTTTGTGCGTACCAATTTACTTTTAGTCAGCCTTTAAAAGAACCGATCGAGTCTTGGTCGTTTGAACAACTTTGTTGAAGACATGAATCTTCTACCTGAAGAAGTTTATTTGCACTCTGGTGCCACATAGTATCTAAAACTAGTCACTACCAATGTTTGTATTCGTACTCTCATGCTCTATCGTCATCTCTCTTACACAACACAAACGGTAGAACAACATTCGAGCAAAAAAAAAAAAAATCAAATAACTGTCATATGACATGTGTGATTTTGTTCTAATTCCTTAATTTGGTGTAAATTAAACCATTTCTGATCAGAAATGTTATTACAGGGCGGACTCGATTATCCGGAGTCTTGAAAAAAAAAATTCAATCCGGATAATCGAGCCCTCCGGATAATCGAGCCATAAAAAAAATTTTTTTTTGGTCTTATGTGGTCTCATTTAATGTTTTTCGTGGTCCCATTGAACGCTATTGAAGGATTATTGAATCGGACCACTGGTTGTGTAGATATGGCCGGAACAAGTTCTGGCGTTTATGGGCCATGAGGCTAAATTTGACTTGAAAGGAACAAAACCCATTAAGCGACACATCAAATTAAATCAAAATTTGATATCAAGATCAATGGTGGAAAAAATTAAGTACCTTGGACCATATTGGCCACTTCTGGACAAGTTCCAGGTGCCCCGGGAAAGTGACCAGAATCGGACTTGGATAATAACCTATCATGAGGCACATTAAAATCTCGAGATCCTGACCAGATAGAAAATTACTGTTTTCGGCAAAGTTGTTCTAGAGATCATAATCTTTTTGCTGGTGGAGAGAAGTTCAGAATTTTCTCACTACGTAGCGCTAGAATTCATGTGAAATTATCGCATGAGATATATCTCGAGATCATGACCAGATAGAAAATTACTGTCGTCGACAAAGTTGTTCAGAAGGTCAAGGCCTTTTCGTTGGTGGACAGTAATTCAGCGTTTTCTCACTTCGCGGCACTAGTATACATGTAAAATTCTCGCATATATAAAATATTTCTAGATCCTTACCATATAAAAAGTTACTGTCTTCGGCAAAGTTTTCATGAAGTCCAGATCTTTTCGTTGGTGGAGTAGTTCAGAAAATTCTCACTACGTGGCGCTAGTATATACATGCAATTTTCGCATATACAATAGCTCGAGATCCTGAGCAGGTAGAAGTTACTGTTTTCGGCAAACTTGTTCAGGGTGTCAAGTAGTTTTGGCTGGTGGACAGTAGTTCAGAATTTTCTCACTACACGGCGCATATAAAATATCTCGAGATCCTGACCAGATAGAAAGTTACTGTCTGAGGCAAAGCTGTTCAGGAGATCATAGCTTTTTTTCTGATTAACAGTAGTTCAAAATATTCTCACTAGGTAGTGCTCGTATACATGTTAAGTTCTCGCATGTGATACATCACTAGATCCTGACGAAATAAAGAATAAATGTCTTTGGCAAAGTTTTTCAGGAAGTCAAGATCTTTTCGTTGGTGGACAGTTGTTCAGAATTTTCTCCCTACTCTGTGCTAGAATACACATGCAATTCTTGCATATACAATAGCTTGAGATCCTGAGCAGATAGAAAGTTTCTGTTTTCGGCAAACTTGTTCAGGGGGTCAAGACTTTTTGGCTGGTGGACAGTAGCCTAGAAATTTTTCACCAAATTGCGCTAGTAACCGTGTACAATTCTCGCGTATGCTAAGCTCGAGATTCTGAACAGGTAGAAAATTACTGTCTTCGAAAAAATTGTTCAAGATGTCAATGCCTATTGCTTGGTGCACAATAGTTCAGAATTTTCACACTTCGTGGCGCTAGTATACACGCGAAATTCTCGCATGTAAAATATCTCGAGATTCTGATCAGATAGATTTCTCTAGTCAACAGTAGTTCAAAATTTTCTCACTGCGTAGCGCTAGAATACACGTGAAATTCTCGCATGTGATTTGTTTCGAGATCCTGACCAGATAGAAAGTTCCTGTCTACAATAAAGTTATTCAGGAGGTCAAAGTCTTTTGGCTGGTGAACAATAGTTTAGAATTTTCTCATAAACTCAAGGCTTTAAACTCCTGAACAACTTTGTTTAAGACAGTAACTTTCTATCTGGTCAAGAACGTGAGATATTTTATATGCGAGAATTTCACATGTATACTACCATCATGAAGTGAGAAAATTCTGAACTACTGTCCACCAGCCAAAAGACCTTGACCTCCTGAATAACTTTATTGTAGACAGGAACTTTCTATCTGGTCAGGATCTCGAAACAAATCATATGGGAGAATTTCACGTGTATTCTACAACTTTCAAAGTAAAAAAAATCTCCTTAAAATAGATAGGGTTGCTCCTTAAATGATTGATCAAAATACGTTAAAAATCTTAAAATGCTCAGTAAATATTTAAAGTACGCTCTTTAAAATAGAGAAAACTGTACATTAAGCATTTGAAAATGCTCCTTAGTATGCACCGCTTTGCACCATTTTAAAGTGTAATTGTACCATATATCATCGGAAAAGCTGCTGTAAAAAGGTTAAAAAGTACCATGAAATCAGTTGAAATGTTCAGTAAATCATTGTGTGCATTTGTGCTTGTGCTTTCAGCTAATTTCATGGTACTTATTAACCTTTCTACAGCAGCTTTTCCGATGATATATGGTACAATTACACTTCAAAATGGTGCAAAGTGGTGCATACTAAGGAGCATTTTCAAATGCTTAATGTACAGTTTTCTCTATTTTAGGGATCATACTTTAAATATTTACTGAGCATTTTAAGATTTTTAACATATGTTGATCAATCATTTAAGAACCACCCCTTTCTATTTTAATGAGATTTTTTTTACTTATTAAGGAACATCGTCATTGTTTAATGATTCATTTAACTTTTTACCTTAAAAAAATACTTGTAATAAGTTAAATTCAATGCTGAACTCATTATTCTAGTTTAGATGCACTAATTAGTGTAAGTCAATGAACCATAACTACAGTATCGCCATAAATCATACTGTCTCTCCACAGTCTCCACAACAGTCCAATTATTGACAAGCAAACAAATATAACCATGCATCCCGCAGTAGCGTTGATTGGATGTAGCTAATTAAATTTTCCGCTCGGAAGTTCAACAAATTGAAACTAAATACCCTCTGCAACTCAATCAATGCCTTCCTCCTTATCCGTCTACCCACCCAAGTGGCTCATGCTACATGCTTTGAACTTCTGCTGCCAGCCCATTCAGTAATGATAATAATAACATTGTTCTAATTCACGTCAGTACCCCCCATCCGAAAATCAATACTAAATGAATACTCTCCGATGGGCGCCTTGCCCGACGGGAAACCTACCTCACAGGAATCTCGCTTGCCGTTCGCGTAGCCAGCACAAACGAACGACGGCAGGATCTTCTTGTTGTGCCCGGCCATGTGGAACATCTCCTGACAGACACTGTTTTCTATCACTGGGACCTAGGCGGGTGAGAAAATACAGATATGAGCAGTCTTGAAATATCCGACTGGGATACAACTCAGAACAATGTAACACTACACCTTTGAGTTGTGGACCTACGTACCTGCACTTCCTGTAGCACCGAGGGCACTCCGCCGCCGTAAGTTAATCGTCCCCATCCGGTCACTGTCGCCATTCTGCCGGTAAAGTCAGCTTCGTCTGATGGCATGCAAATTGGCACTGGAATAAACGAAGAGACCACGTAATGAATAACCTATTGATATAGAAACTCGGTTTTCTTTTTATTCAGTTAGGAAAGTGAAAATGAAAAATTACTTTCAACCCATGGGGATCGGGGGGACTGATTCTGGGTTGAAATATTACAAATTTTATCCACCGTGGCACATTGTCTCGATATAATTTATTACAACAACCCAGCGTTGCTTCCGCCGGTTCTGCGTCTGGTGAGGTAGAGGAAGCCGCAACGGGAAAGTTTCCGCTTGCGAAACACGTAATGCAAGCGCACCAAGGCTAAGGATTTAATTTTTCGAGAAAACTTCCACTTCCACAAGCGGAAAGATTTATCGACTTTGCTGGTTCCACAGAGCGATCCCGGCTGGCTAGCAAGTTGAACACTGCTGTGCAGAGTCAGCTTGTGGCGCGGCGAGCTGAATTTATTATCGAAAGCGTTATCAGATTGTTTCCGTAGCCCAGAAACGCGCTGCTGGATGTTGGAAAATTGAGATGCAACGTTTAGAGCGGTAGGTAAATACCACTGATTGCATCGTTTAGAAGCGATGATATCGGTGCGGTTCGGAATAATTTGATGTGGTGTCGTTATTTTTAGATTATTCGGGTGTTTTGACAGGAATTACTTACGTCCTTAACGAGACCGCATACATTGCGGATTTATTGGCCGGCGTAGATCAGATCAGTAATTATACCAAATGGGGTTGCTTGTTTATAGTTTGGAGAGATCTAATGCGGTGGATTTGCTTGTTTTGGAGCTGAGCCTAGGTGGGAGTTTGTATATTGAATACAACCACATATTGGTAAATAATTACTCTGAAGCCTGAATCAAAACCTTTTCAATAGCATAACTACGTAGTGAGATTATAAACAAATCGTTGGCGTTGTTTGGGACTTTCTCTCTTATTTATTTTCAAAATAAGTTTCTGCGTTCCCATTGAGCATTTCCAGGACAAATAGCAATAAAAAATAATCAATTTCAAATTTGATTTTTCCCGATTTCCATGAAACTTTGCATAACTACAACTTTGTATTAGAAGGCATTTAGATTAGATGAGCCGGTTTCATGACATGATTTATTGAAAATGATCGAATACGCCATTTTGAAAATGGCCAAAATTCGGCACAAACTTGGTTCATTGCATCTAGTGAACAGTATTCTGAGTGAAAAATTATGAAATTTGGTTATTTTTTAGCTAGTTAACCTGGAACTTCTCTGTTCGTACATCGGGTTAATTGAAAAGTAGCAATTGATTTTGTTTTAATTGAGGGGGCTAGAGGGAAAGGGGTGTGAGTGATTTTGATCGATTCTCTTCATCGACTTTCTCTTTCGTTAATAATTCAGCTGCAGAGAAGAGAATCGATCAAAGTCACTTACAACCCTTTCCTTCTAAACACCTTAATTGTCACTGATTGATACTGGTACTGTACTATGACAAGCACCTCAACGGTGATGCAACAGAAAACGAAGGTGACACGGCAAAAGACCTTGAAGCACGCGCAGAAGACGGATATAGCGCTGCACTGGGTAATTGCCAAGATTTGGTAAGAGGAGATATTACCGGAGGAGTGGATAGAAGGCGTCATATGCCCATTCTACAAAAACGGCGACAAGTTGGATTGCTGCTACTGCGCGATCACACTGCTGAGCGCCGCCTACAAGGTACTCTCCTAAGTTCTATGCCACCGCATAGTTCTTCCTATTGAAGATACAATATTTCAAGCTAAATAGCTGTCTGGAAAATCACCATTTGCAAGAGAGTTACCACGGGCCAAATTTTCGCGATTCGGCAGGTTCTGCAGAAATGCCGCGAATTCAACGTGCCCACACGTCATTTGTTTATCGACTTCAAATCCGCATACGACACAATCGATCGAGATCAGCTATGAAAGATTATGCACGAGTACGGATTTCCGGATAAACTGACGCGATTGGTCAAGGCGACAATGGATCGAGTGATGTGCGTTGTTAGAGTATCGGGGTCCCTTTGAATCTCGAATGAGGTTACGGCAAGGTGATGGACTTTCGTGTCTGCTATTTAACATCGCGTTAGAGGGTGTGATAAGAAAAAAATAGAGGACAGGAGTGGCTCGATCTTCAGGAAGTTCATCCAGCTTCTTGGCTTCGTCGATAACATCGACATCATGGTACGGAACTTTGAGACGATGGCGGAAACGTACATCAGACTGAGGGCTGAATCTAGGTGGATTGGACTTGCCGTCAACGCATCGAAGACGAAATACATGAGAGGAAGAGGTTCTAGGGAAGATAATGTTAGCCTCCCAACCCGAGTTCAGATTGACGGTGATGAAATCGAGGTGGTCGAGTTCGTGTGTTTAAGCTCACTGGTGACTGCTAAACATGATACCCGCAGAGAAATTCAAAGGCGCATTATGGCAGAGAATATTGCCTACTTTGGACTCCGGAGGATGCTCCGGTCGAATAAAATTTGCCGCAGAACAAAGTTTACTATCTACAAGACACTCAAAAGTGCACTGATTAGACCGGTGGTCCTCTACGGCCACGAGAGCTGGACTATGTTCGTGGAGGACCAACGCACGGAAGGTGTTGGTAATCTACAATGGTTTGCAGATGGATGACGGAACGTGGAGGAGGCGAATGAACCACGAATTGCACCAGCTGCTGGGAGAACCATCCATCGTTCACATTGCAAAAATTGGGAGACTACGGTGGGCTGGGCATGTCGTAAGAATGCCAGACGACGACCCACTGAAAATGATTCTCGAAAGTGACCCAACATGAACAAGAACAAGTGGCATGCAGCGGGCAAGGTAGATCGACCAAGTAGAAGACAAACTGCGGACCCTTCACAGACTACGAGGCTGTTGACGTGTGGGCAATCAAGACCTTAGCCTGATTGGTAAGGTAAGTATAATTTTGAAGTCTCATTCGAAGGGAGTTCTGGGAAGAACTGTGAGAAAAACATCAAGTGCAACCTACTTTCAAGGTAGTACTGAGGAACTCCAGATTCTAAGTGATACCTGAATACCAAGGTAGTTATAAGTAGAATTCCAAGTAAACCCTGAATAGGATTCAAAGGAAAATTGAATGAAAATTCAAAACAATTTCTGAAGTTAATTCCTAAGGAGTTCTGAAGAGGAATCCAAGGAAATTCTAAGAAAAATTCCAAATGAATTCTGAGGATAATTTCAGGAAGTTTCAGGGAAAAAAAATTACGGAGCATAATTCCATGGGAATTTTCGGAGAATTCTTCAGGAGTTTGCTAAGAGTAGGATTACAGCTTATTTTGAAAATAATTGCAATTCAATGGAACTACGGAATTTGTTACTTTTAGTGCAAGCGAATCCTTAGGAAAATTTCAAAGTGAGTATGATTTGATTCTGAAATGAATTCATTTAAAATTCTGAGAAAAATTCTTAATTTTTAAGATTTATTAATGAGGAGTTTTTCAAGTTGATTCCGAGGAAAATTACGTGGGCATTGATCTCCGAGGATGAACCCAACTAAACTTCAAAGAATATTTCAAAGGAATTGTAATTATCTTCCGGTTATAAATTTTAGAGAATTCATGGGAGAGTTACAAGGAAATTGTCAGGAGCATTTCAAAGAATTTATGGGAGTCCAGAGTAAAACTGAAAAGGAATACAGAGAAAAATTCCATAGCAATTTCCGGAAAATACAAAGTGCATTCTGAGGAATATTTCTAGTGAATTTTCCGGAGAAATCTCCGAAGAATTCCTAGGTAACACTGCATAAATTATTAATAATTTGAAGTGCATTGCATATTGAATTCCAAAAGTATTCTGCAGATGATTTTCAAGAGTATTATGAAAAAAAAATTATTGGAAAATACCAGAAAGAGGTCTAGGACTAATTCTGAGGGTATTCAGAGATGATTCAAGCAAATTCTTCAGAAAACAATGAAGAAATTAGGTAAAGATTTTCAACGGCATCAGAATGAATCAAGATCCTGGATTCGATTAAAGAAAATACATTAATAAATTTTTAGATTTCGTGTTTTGAAAATGTTATGATCCTAAGACTCAGGCAATTTTAAAATATTCCGGACATGGAGAATTTTCTAATATTCTCGAAATAGTCCGAATAACTAAGCGGGACTAAGGGAACTAAGGGAACTAAGCGATTAAAATCTCAAAACCATAACTGTGCAAGGAGGCTCGTCAACCTTTAATAAAGTCTGGACTAATGACAATTCAGCGTAAGCATACCCTCGGGGAGAAAGTGACACATCCAGAAATGACCAGAACCTCTGATATCTTAACAAATTGCATTTCGAGTACTGGTTTAATATAATAAATTAACAACTCAGAACTTCCATAAATGGATCATTGAATTATTTTTCGAATTCATATGAGAAAATAAGGAGTGTTTCGGTATTATTTTTTAAACAATAGACGATTCATACAAATATTTTGACTATTCTATAAGTTATGGGACTAGTGCCCCAGTTTTTGGCCCCACACTCAAAAAAATCCACACGTTATCATCATGTGTCTCATACATAATTTTGCACTTATTGTGAAACACATCCATTTCATGTGTGAATCTTATGCATTGAACCAAGCCTCAACACTATTGGTCCCTAGTAGCACACTTGTCACAAATCAATTGTAGAAACTTAAATACGACTTATTTCAGTCATAAACAAGTTGCTGTAACTTATTGTGATGAAAGTGTGCTACTCGGGGTTCGAATTGGGACACACTTGGAGTCTATATGCCTTACATGATGATATCAATAACTTTGCACATCATAGTTCAATGTTCTACAATATTCTTCTTTATCGACTTCTATTTTACCGACTCTAAAATTGAATCGACAAATATACAGGGTGATCGGTTCCTTAGTGCAAATAATTTAAGGGGCAATAGAAGATCATATTTGAAGTAAAAAAGTAGAAGGGTCTGTGCCTAGGGGCACGAACGGAAGCTTGACGTAGGACCGCTAGTGAACGGAATAAAGAGCATTTAGTTCTTTTAATTCAATC